GGTGCCGCCTCGAGCTCCATATTTTGTTACTTTCGCAGCCTCGGCAGCGGTCGCGCCAGCACCGGCGGTCGCCGAATGGCCGCGGCGGTTGTGTGCGCTGACGACTGCGAAGTCCCCGTGGAAAATTGGGAGCGAGCAGTGGCCCCAGAGCTGCACGTCCACGCGCGGCTCACGCATGGTTGCCGTGGCCAGCTCTGGAAGCACGACCTCGCGTGTGGCTGCAAGGCCGGCTGTGCGAGCGCACGCCGCGAGCTCGTCGCAGACTCCATCATGCAGACGGTTGTGGGCTCCACCGATCATGCAAGATATCGCGTGATCTCCAAGCTCGTCGAGTGCGTGGCCACAGACCCTTCCAGCGCGCGTGCGGCGCTGACAAAAACACGCAACGCCGAAGAGCGGGAGCCGGAGACGCCGGCGGAAATTGATGCGGAACTCATCGTCCGACAAAGGGGCCAAATCCCCAGTGGCGCTGGCTGTGAAACCAAGCCCGCCTTCCGGGCCGCCTCCGGACAGCCAGTGCTTCCGCTGCTCAGGCGTCCCTGCAGAGAGTACGGCATCGGCCGCTCGGAGCATCCACAATTTACGACGGTGCCGCAGCGCTGCGCCTGCAGCTACCGCGTGCTCGAGCGAAAATGCGTGGGCACCTGCGTGCGCATCAGGCCCCGGCTGCGGCATCCCCCACGCGTCGAGGAACACGCCGCTCGCCGCCAACCGGCCAAGGCAACCTCTGGCAGCAGCGAGCATGCCGGAGCGCTCGTACCCTACGTCGATTACAGCTGGCGGCAGGTGGAGGACAAGGCTGCCGAGAGGCTTTCGGCAGCACGCGGAGGAGCGTGGCGAGATACGAAAAATGAGCCCCAAGAGCAATGGGTCGAAGCGCCATGCCTCCATGGCTGAGCGGTGCATTCAGGGTGCTGAGACAGGCCTGCCACTGCGGGTCCGTGCAAGCAGGCCCCAAGAAAGCTGTCCGGACAAGATCGCTGACCGCGTTGTCCAAGCGACGTGCGTACGGCAGGAAGGCTGCCGGCTTCACAACACAGGCGTCGTAGGACAGAGCGCGGTTCAAGACCAAGCAAACAAGCTTCCATAGAGGGCCCAACTTACGGCAAGTGAGCTCGGCATGCGCAACTCGCTTTAAAATCGAAGCGAATGCGATCGCTTTCTCGCACCGCTTTTGCACTGGGCCGAGGGTGGCCCCGTCGAAACTAAAATGCGTGCTGCACTCGCCTTCGGCGTGAGCGCCAAGGAGAGTAAGACCAGACGCGTCGAATTCAGCATGCGGGCGCAGCTCGGCAGCGAGCTCGCCAGCGAGGGCCGGGTCTGAACGGGCAGCTGGCACGTGGGCTTTGGTCTTGTCGACGCGCAGTTTCACCCCCCGTGCCGCAAAGCACTGCGTCGCGATCCGCATCGCTTGCAGCCAGTGCTCACGCGGAGCGGCGACGCAGACGTCGTCGACGAAAAGGCGGAGACGCGGGCGAGAGGACTCATCTGCGAACGCCTTGGAGTAGGCCTCAGAGATGTCGCGAATGCTGGCCGAGAATGCGAGGCCGAAGTCCGAGGTTGCACTGCAACCGCCCTGGCAGCAACCCTCCTGCATCTCCAGCGTCTTGAACTGCTCCCCCACCTGGACGTAGCACAGCTGCCGGACTCCCCCGAACCACATGTTGTGCTGCAGTGTCGCCGCGCGCGGAGAGCAGGCGCGGGCCTGCTCGTAGGCGTCCTGGCGGCGGGCAGTGCCGAAGGCGCTCTCGAGTTCGAGCCCGAGGTAGACCCAGTGCGGGTGGGCCGCCATGTCCGCCTGGACCTCGGTGATGAGGGCGGCAGTGCCACTCTCTGCGCCGAGCGCATGCTGGTTGCTGCCGACGTGCGCGGAAACCCTGTGGAGCTCCGCGCGGCTGATGGTGCCCGCGGCGAGCTTGAACAGGACCTCCTGGAACACGATGGGGCGCGCCTTGCCCCCGCCCTTGTCCGAGGCAATGAGCTGCATGTGGAGCCACGGCTGCCGGATGAAGGCCGGCAACTGCCGGCAGGCCCACATCGATGCCCACCTTGAGAGTGTCCGCGTCGGGTGCGGGCTCCTGAGGAACGCCTGGACGTGGGAGTTACGCTCCCCGCTGGGCCCGGCATGCGCCAGTGCACGGGCGCTCCAGATGCACGCGCGGACCTGCTTGCACTCGACGGGGCTGCACTTGGACACTGGCGGGGCTGGCGGTCGCGAGGCACGAGCCTCGGCGGAAGCAGGCGGCAACAGCGCGGTCAGCTTCTCGTACGTCTCCTCCGTCGGCGGGAGGAGCTTCGCCCCTGTCAGCAGGCGCTTGGCCTTTCGGAGGTCGCCGATGTCGGCGGCCTCCAAAGCACGAGTCCACGTAGACGTAGAGTCCTGCTGGGTGGCCGGCTCCCCGCCTGCATCGGCGGTAACAGGAGCAGGCGGTGCGTCCCGAAGGTGACTGGCATGTCCAGCGCCACGCTCGGCATGACCCGCAGCCCACTTGCGTTCGTC